TGGGATTGACACTGGCATGAAGTCGAGATGGAACTAACTGAAACAAGTTATTTTTATTATTCTATTCATTTTGTGTTTTCAATTTTATAGCTTGAGAGATGCTTTTCAGTTTATAGCCTGTTGCTGCCTCTGGGAAGGTGTTCAGTGTTTGTTGTACAGTGTAATACAGAAGTGTTTGAAATGTTCCTTATTTCTATGAGGAAAAGTAGTTTACAAAAGTTGCCATTGGGCAAAATGTTGCCTCAATCTCCAGCAAGAGGACTGCGTATGTCTTTGACACTTGCATTACTGTCTGTTCAAAATAAATGAAAAGGAATAGATCGGCTTATGCATTTATGTTTTTGGTCCCAAATGGCAATGTTTTTTAGCAAATGACACTTGCACTCTAGCAATGCCAGGGGACACATCTATTTCATGGCAGGTGTGCTGCTCAGGACCAAAGGAAGGGCAGTGCTGGGTGTGGAGATCTTTGGATGAGAGGTTCTCAAGAAGCTGCAAGCAGCAATACCAGAGGCAAAGCAATCATCCGGTTACAAACAGGCACGTTTTAAACAGGCGCTGCACAGGTGAAAAGAAATCTGTGACAGTAGATGGGTTGTCGATAATGATTCCAAGTTTGGTACAAAAAGTGACGGAGTCTTTTATTGTGAGTTGAGAGGTTGAACCCTGACACCCATAGTTAAAAAATTATCAATGGATATAGGAACCAAAAAAAAACAAACCAAAAGGTGCAATGAAAACTTTTGAGTGCATCTAAAGCCTCTTTTCCACTGCTCAAAAAACCCACTAGCACCCGCTAACCACCCATCCATCCATTTCCATTTTAGCCCGGGCCAGGTCGCGGGGGCAGCAGCCCAAGCAAAGCACTACAGACGTCCCTCTCCCCAGCAACGCTTTCTAGCTCCTCCTGGGGGACCCCAAGGTGTTCCAGGCCAGATGAGATATATAATCTCTCCAGCATGTTCTAGGTCTGCCCCAGGGCCTCCTACCAGTGTGACATGCCCAGGAAAACACCCACCATCATAAGGCTCTTTAATGGGAAAGGTTATAATCAGCATTCACACCAGGGTCAAAAGAATGTGTTGTCACTGGTATTTATTGGCTCCGGCTCTGATTAGCACTGATGGAAACACAACACCAGGGTGAATGTGCTGATTTTAGCCCCTTAGGCGGTGAGATGCAATGACACCATCCATCTCTACCCAAGCAGTGCTCAAACATCGATTCAAATTAGTCTGCACCGAGTTTTAAAGAGAGACTAAATAAGTAAGACGTATAAAAGGAAGTAACCACCGTTAGTTTTCACAGGCTTCTATGCTACTTCCTACTGTTCATTAATCTGTTTTCCAGCCTGTCTGTGACGTCAAACATGACACACCAAAAAAACAAACACTCACACACAGAAAGGCATACTCATCTGCTTCAGAGCCGTGTACACATCTCTGGTCCACTGGCAATGGGAAAGAAGTCTATAGCCTATTCTTAGTGGGTTTACTCGTGTTTAAAAAACCCACTTGCACTAATTTTGGTGGAAATGGGGTTTAAATTATGTGCCGCTGCACCTAAATGAAAAAGTTATAACTAATTAATCATTCAAGTCATTTGTCAAGCAGAAATGCCAAAACATGTGACATTTCCAGCCACTAAACTGGGAAAATCCAGTGCGTTTCCTTATCTTAAAGAAAACTGAAGATCTTTGGGTCTTGGACTGCTGACTGAATAAAAAAAGACCTTTGATGTTGCCTTGAGCTGTAGGAAATTCTGATGGGCTGTTTTATATATTATTAATTAACTGAGAAAATAATCTGCATAAAATAATCTTTAGTTGCACCCTTGATGACAAAAATGAAATTATGCATTAATGCATGAAATGCTCTGCAATACTTTTGGCACAACATTAAATATCAGCTCCAAAGTATAAAGTAGGGTATAGGGTATAAATGTGTCCCTCTGTTCAACCAAACTAGGTCTTAAAAAAGGATGGTGGTGACCCCCAACTGCCAGTGACTCCACCCAGCGCAGCCATCTGCTGCTCCTATTCTCTACATCTGGAAGACAGATCACCTAGAGGCCACCAGAAGCAGCCAATGATGTCATCCACTGGTTCTACCCAAACAGGAAGCCTGTGTGTGTGCATATATGCATGTGTGTTTGTTACATGTGTGAGTGTGTTACAGGATAAGTTATGGTTTCTTCCTTGTTAAGGAGCCTGGAAAGTGAATGCATGCGTACATGTGTGTTCAAGAATTCAGAGGTCAAGGCTTGCTGGGGCAATGTCGGCCATTTCACAAAGTCACACACAAACACACACATGCAAGCAATCAATCAAAAATGCATAGTGCTGCACACTCCAGAAGAATGTACTTGTCATGAGAACATTTGGTTCACACACACTCACAGGTTAAAGCGTTTGAAAAGCCCAGAGTTAAGTTTCAGTGACAGGAGCAGACCAAAGGCATTCCTCTGCTTGCTCTAACTCAAACTCTGCTGCCAGCCATAATTACCAAGTCCTAAACAAACACAGCTAAACATAGACACACACACACACACTCTTCCACTCAGATGGAAACACACTCCCTCCAAGAATAAAACGCTGCCTGCTCTCACACTGCAGCTCTCTCCACTGCTTCTGTTTGGAGTTTGTGCAACTACTCAGATTTCAAGGTTTCATGATCTGCATTGACACTGAGTAATTAACAGCAGCTACACTGCAGAGTGTGTGACTGAATCAATAGTTTCTGTCGCTTCACGGGACATCTGAAAATAACTAAATCCAAACCCCAACTCTGATATTTTGTCAGGATCTGCTGGGCTATAGCTACGAGAACTCCGAGCTTCTCTGATGCAGATGAATATTAATAAAACATATATTGCTCAATTCATGCTAGGCCAGCATTTCCATCCCTAAAAAGCAAGCTTTTTGATTCATTCCTGTCTGTTTCTGCGTAGTAACAGATAAGCTGTCTTTCTAACACCTCCACCTCTCTCTGATCACACCTCCTGTGTCAACAAAGCTGATTGTGCAATACAGAGGCATCCATGTGTTTATGCTGGCAGACAACTGACAGAGCTCAGGCGTTACTGTTAGTTACTTTTTAAAACAGAGATCGCACTATAGGGCTGCTATGAAGTCCATTCTTCAAGCCGCCTTTGCTTTTTTATACAGAACCAAACAAAGGCAGCATCATGCCACCCCGGTGTGTGATTTTAGATAGCATGCCAGCATCCCAAAAGCAGTAGAGGCGCGACGGGCGTTACATGTAACACAACAGCATCAACGTCTAGTGTGACATATAACAGAGGCATTGGCAGCACTTTCTAACCAATAACAATAGCATTAACATGGTAACAACAATCATTTACCATCCCTGTTATATGGTGGCTGATCTGACATCATTGTCTCCTCCATTTGCAGACATTTTTCGGCTGTTGTTCTTCTGTGAGTTAGCTACTAACTGCTATTTACTGCCTTTTAAATCTCCCAGGAGTGGGTGGCACATATTACAAGTCATCACAATGTCACCCTGTATCGTCCACAGCCTCATCCAGTCTGCTACACAGACTAGGGATGCACGATAATGCCGGTACATCATCAGTATTGGTATACTGAACAACAAAACAATTAGGCTCACAAATGTGTTAGCGTTACAGCCTGTGAAGGTCTACATCGTATGTACATTGAAGCTCAGAGGAGTGAATCTGCGCATTCAGAGCTCAGTAATTTAAAACACCTCACCGTCCCGTCCACATGACATCCAGAGGCCGCTGCCTGACAAGGTCCTTCACAGAAAAAAACAGTTTTAAATCCAAAGGCTGATGCCAAAAAAAAACCACGATGTCCTATGTTGAGTCCCGTAGTGCTGTGGATATGGATATATCGATATCAGTTATGATAATGAGTTGTCGTATATCAACATATTGGCAGAAAATCCAATACCATGCATCCGTACCTACACTGTTACTACCTTCTTGATGCAGGCATAAATGGGAGGCAACTCTGTCCCCCAATTCCCTGATCGTACCGTTTATGAAGAAAGGCGAGACGGAATAAGGGCATGGCATTCTTGCCTTGAAAAGCCAGTCTAAAAGGGGCTTTGGTTACACAAAATACTACAGAGATGGTGCAGAAATGACCAGAAATTTCTTGGGCTGGACCACTGATGAAGTGAAACTGTTACTGACAGTAACACATGAGTATAAAGCAGTCAAGCGGTGGAAACCAGGTTGGGAGTCGTCACAAAGCAAATACGGGACATATTAGAGCAGTACTGGGAGCATCATCCATCACCGGAGGAGGCTGTGGCAATAGTAAAGGAGTAACATGACCCACACAAGAATGATGAAATCACAAAATGTATTTAGACCAGCTATAAAGTTTTGACTTGACAAGCTGTGACTGATGAAATCCGATGGGGAAGTGAACATGGGTGTCTGGGTAAGGTCTAGGGTTAGGGTTGTCATCATCACTGTTCTCAAAAGTCCCCATTTCCGCCCGTCCAGACTAAAACTCAACCCAGGAATTTTCAAACTAAAACTGGGTCAGCAGTGTTTTCAAGGGTCCATTTCAGGATTTCCAAAACACTGGAGTAGTGTGGACACAAGGTGTGGCTGTAGCCTGAGAAGCATGGGGTCTGCTTCTACAGACCCCATGCTGACAACAACTTGACTTCCATGACCTTCCAGAGGCCTGACAGTCACTGAGATGAAGAGAACAACACGTAGAGGGAGGAGAGGGCAGAGTGAAGGAGGAAAAACAGATTGAGAGGTTGGAGACAGGAAGGATAGAGCGTGTGAACTGAGAGAGCCTGAAGAGAATCAAAGAAAAAGAGATTGAGGTAGAGGGGAGATGCTGAGAGGAAAGTAAACAGTGTGAGGGGATTGGAATGTGTTTAAGCAGCCGCAGTGACTCAAGGTACACTGTCGGCTGGGGCACACACAGCCTGTCAGCTACATACCAACTGCTTCCAAATGCACAAGGACAAATATGACAGCATTCTTACCCGTTTTACAGCCCTCAAGAGTCTCAATGTAAGTGGAATACACGTCCTCCTACCGCAGACGTAAAGAAACAGTTGGAGCAGACGGAGATAAGTGATGGGACAGGGAGATGTGTAGGAGCAGACGCAGACAGAGGTAGCAGAAAGACTTGGCTCCTCTGGTTTGGCCCGAGATTCAGTGGGTGGAGCGGCAAATGAGAGGATGTTGATATTCCACACAGGAAGAGAGACAAACAAAAGGTCTGCTGGATTGACACAGGACACACAGTGGAAAGAAAAGGCCAAACCATATTTGCAAAGTCTGAATAAAACACTGCAAAAAATAGCAACACACATCAGTAAGCTCCTGTTCCAACAATAAGTAAACAGGACCAAGAATATGACTGAGCATTTGGTGCCAACTATAAGTACAGTTTCCATACTGGATCCTTTGGACACAGCCTGGTCAGTATTTCACAACTTATTCAACACACAGCACCACCATCACAGCTCTGTTCTGCCAGTTATTTCCATAAAAGCATATTGCTGAAATAAACACACAATGCACCGAACCCTGATTCCTGTCCCTGCAGTTGGTGGGCCCACAGGGTGATGGCTCCATGTTATTTATTCGAGCTGAACCCGAACTGGCCCCAAAGCCCAAGGCCCAGCCATCAGATGCTCACTGGCCAAGTCTTGCTATGGTGTCCCCATACCGGGCGAGGTCCAAATATGCCATGTAATCAAGGTCTTCTTGAATTGCTCTTAGTCTGGCCCCTCCCCTGGGACAACTTCACCTTGAGAGACCCTACCCGGGACTATTAGCACCGGCAACACAAGCCCTTTTTAAACAGGAATTGTGCAAATTTGCAGGAAAGCCCAATCAGTCTTTTTTCAGCATTGGCAGTATAAAAGCAAAATCGGGAGTGCAGCAAAATGCCGCCTACCTACTTTTGTTTATACAGAATGCGCCTTTTTCGGGGCAATTGGGGGGTGTGAGCAACAAAACATGAAGCTCAGCGTATGACGTAAACAGTGACGTGGGAGGGAAGCCGTGGCTAGTCAGTCCTTCGGTGATTCTCTCATAAGTTGGCCTGTCCTTCACCGTCCCCGTCATCTGACGGTTAATGGCCTCTTCGTTTGCGAGGGCAAGGAGGGTGCGTAATTCCCTGTCTCCCCAGTTGCTCATCTTTACAGCGTCTGTCAGGTTTGTGTTTCCCTCTTGCTACTAGCTGCTTGCTAATTCCTGCTATCAGCTGTTTCCTGTTTATCCAATGCCAGTGGGTCGCACGTGCGGCGTCATCAACAGCTCCTCCCACAAGTCATCAACAGCCCCTCCGGTGGCGGAAGGGCGCCTCATTCTCTTTAAACCAAAAAGATTCCGCCAATATGTCTACCCTACGAGGCGGAAAACTGGGTACCTCGGATCAACTCGCCAGTCCGGCTCTGTGTGTCTAAACGCTCGCAGCTTGCCAGCAAAACGGCCCAACATTTGCCGAAAAACTGGCAGTGTAAAAGGGGCTACAGTCTCCAGGTTCATAGGGACACACAAACCCCTCCACCATGATAAGGTGGCGATTCTCAGAGCTCGGACATCCGGAGGGAGCTCGGAGTAGAGTCGCTGCTCCTTTGCGTTGAAAGGGGTCAGTTGAGTTGTTTCAGGCATCTGATCAGGATCCCCCTTCTGTTAGAGGTGTTTCGCGCACATTCCACTGGTAGGAGGCCTCGGGGCAGACCCAGAAGACACAAGAGGGATTATATATCTCATCTGGCCTGGGAACACCTCAGAGGAGCTGGAAAGCATTGCTGGGTAGAGGGACGTCTGGGGTGCCTTGCTTGGCCTGCTGCCCCCGCGACCCGGCCCCAGATAAGCGGATGAAAATGGATGAATGGATCACTGTAAACTAACAACAAGTTCACTGGCAACTGATGTCAACTGTGAAGATTAATTAAAACACTAACTTTATTTCTGTTGTTATTTTCAGCCCTGACCATAACGTTTAAAGATATAAAAGCCCTTTTACACAGAGATCCTGTGATAGGGCCACTATGAAATCCCTTCATTATGTCAACTTTGTTTTTTATACAGAATCAAACAACACCAGCATCATGCCCCTCCAGTGTGTGTTTATAGACAATATGCTAGTCCTACCTGTTTGGCGTTTCTGCTGTGCTTATTTTGTACTGTGTTGCTTTGCTACCATCTTTTATAAACCAAATCTACCAGCTGTGTGAAGGGACTTTACCATACACACTTATCAACTGAGGCAGCTGTACACCGGCAACGCCCGTGTTCCATGAAGTAAAAGTACTGCTTTAGTCAGTGGAGTCTGGTGGTTTTGAGATCATGACTTCAGTTCCGTGTTGGAAAGGGCTGACAGCAAGGTGACGAGGTGAAAATATTTTGCATATAGCACACATCTGAGGCAACGTTTGCTCAGCGCCATTTTGTTTCATGTACGTTATTGTAGGGGGTTTCTACATGGAAGGTATTGTAAAGAACACTGTGATTCAGTCCATGGGTGTGTCTATTTTTTGTTTGTTTCTGTGTCACTTCTAATAGTGACACAAGCAGAAAATGACATCCTTGGTACGGCAACATGTATTTTCTCAAACCACAGTATGCAAACTAATCCTCCCTCTCAGTTTTTATTCAATGTACCGGCTCATTAGCTCTCAAAAATATCAATTAGTGGCGTCTAATTTACATATAAACAGTGTATCCTGAGGAAGGCTTCATTTTTATAGAAGCTCTTTCTATGATAGCGTACACACACACACACACACATATAAAGAGATCAGACATGGTGCCTGAACCTGGAGCACATGGCTCTTGCTCTGCCTTTTTGCCTTCATAAACTCTTTGTTTCCATGACAACCACACACAGAAGTCCCCCCGTAGCACACGCATGTGTGTGCCAACCACATGTCGGTGTATGTGTGCGTACGGTTACAAGAGAGACGGGTGGATCCAACGTTGTGGACCCCACAGGGCGGAGTGAATTGAGTTTAATGTGTGAGAGAGGTGACGATGGAGGCAGAGATGAAGAGGGAGCAGACTGGTGGTGCCGACGCACCAACAAAGTGGGCAGCTACAAGCAGCAAAAACAGATGGTGCTGTCTGCTGTGTGAAACCTCGAGACACTTCATGACGACATGCAGTTAAGAGAAATGCAGGGACACTCCTCACAACCCGACACTGTTCCTTCAAATACTCAGATTTAGACAAATTTAAAGTCCCCTCCACCTGACTCCAGTTACATTCTGGATGTGGAGCTTATTTTCCATTCCTTTAGTGGTTCGGTGATGATTCACTGACTCTTCAAGAGTGGTCGGAGGTTTCACCACTTCAAAAACAGAGGGGATTTAGATGGCTGCACGGCCCTGTCTGCAAACCATCAGATCACCCAGAAAGCAGGTTAACTCCAGCTGAAGTGCCAGTCTTTCTCTCAGTCACTGCAAATATGTACATAAGCTCTACAGCAGAGATTGTTGGTCTGCTTAGTCCACGAGGGAACCGGTATTTAACTTGAAACTAACTGCAGTTTATTTGAAGACAACAAGAGAGAAACCGTCTTAATTTATGCTAACTCACCAGGCTCGAGACCACCCAGAATATTTCACCAGATAAATCAGAAACAAATGCTGCAGGAATGCAGCGCACAAACGTCAAAATCTAGTCAGATGGGAGTCTCTGGGATCAAATGCTCCGAGGGAGTCTGACAAACTAAAAAATCTGGAACTTCCCATAGTCGATTCTATTTTTTTAGACAAGTCGAGCCAAAAGCTATAAGCTATGAAGAAGGATTAGGGCCATGTTAAACAAAAAAAAATCTTAAATTTCATTATAAAGTCGTAAATCTGCAAGAATAAAGTCATATTATTACGAGAATAAAGTAATAAATTTACGAGAATAAAGTCATATAAATGGAAACACTGAACGTGAAAACTCACAGTGCTGCATGACCCAGATGTGCTATAATGTAGTCTGTATATGACACAACCACCTTCAGGGAATATTTTTCTGATGGCAGATAGTGGATCAGTGTGAATGAATGAAAAAGGAAAACAGTAAACATTTTCTGGGGGGTAACGCGCTTCTCCTTAGTCATTAGTTCAAGGTCCCACAGTTTAATACATTCAGCTTTATACTTGTGTTTGACCATATCGTTGAGCTAGTTTGCTGTCTCTGTCCAGTAGACGTCTGTCATTCACTCACTCTACAGCAGGAAACAGCACTTCAAAATAAAAGCTCTGTGCCTGAAATTCACTGTACTTCAAAATTAAGTGTGTTTTTTAGAAATTTGACACGTTTGTGAGTCACCTGCGTTCCATTCAGAATGGCCCTGCAACTCGGGTTGGGTACCAAAACTCGGTACTTTTTGTACTTGGTACCGATTCACGTCGGTACTACAGAGTACCGATTCACTTAAAATGAATCGATGCCAAATTTCAGTACCTGAGGTGGAGGCGGAGCGAGAGCGCATAACTCGCACCTCAGACTCAGCAACAATGGCGACAAAAAAAATGTGCAGACAAATGTTAACGTGCAGCACTGTTCCTAAATGTTCTCAATAAAATGTTGAAACTGAGAAGTTTAGACTTTAAAATGTACCGAAATAAGGTACCTTTAGGTACCGGTACCGAATTCCAGATACCGGTACCGTGTCAGTTCAATTATGAACGGTACCTAACCCTACCTGCAACCCACCAGTTGGGAACCACTGTCATAGGAAATACAGCTTTTATTAAAACGCTGTCATTTTTCAAGTACCAATACAAATAAAATGGCGTATTTTACTGTTTTCAATAGCAGGGTTTTATTAAGGTATGCTGTGCAACACTACAAGGCCAAAGGTTTTCTCCCAACCACACTGTAAAGTGGAATGTAAACTTAAGGTAGGGCTGCAAGTATTGATTACTGTCATCAGAGATAAGTCATTTGGTCTATAAATATCATAAAACAGTGTCACAACTTCCTTAAGCCCAAACCAAGGCATGTTCTGTCCATCAACAGTCCAAAATCCAAAATGTTTAATATGACATATATGAAGGAAAGAGACAAAAGCTCACAAGCAATAAGTTGGGACTAGGAAATGTCTGGTATTTGGCTTTATAAATAACTTAACAAATAAATGATTATTAAAATGCTGAATAACTATGT